TGAGGGAGTGGCTTCTGTGCAGGCCCCTCCCCATTGGTCCCCTCCCGCACCTGAGTCACAGGGAGATGAAGTGACTTGCCCAAGGAGATGGTGGCACAGCCAGTGTGGAACCCAAAAGTCCTGGCTCCGGCAGACACCACAAAACACCCCTGCTGGGAATGAAGCCTTGGAGTCCTGTATCACCAGTCTTATTAGAGCCAAGAGCCCCAGGCGGCTATCAGCTGCTCTGCCTCCAGGCTGGAAGAGAACCCAGGAGTCCTAGCTGCTGGTCCCCTTCACCAGCCCCGAGACAATGCTCCTGCTGCAACACAGACACAACAGACGTGCAGCAAAAATAAATAAGACACAAAAACGCCAGACAAGGGAGGAAGCAGAGTCCCAGCAAAGGAGCCAGCATCCTCACGGGGCCCATGGGCAAGGAAGGGGCTGCTCACAGCACCAAGGTAGTTGAGCCCAAGAAGCAGGCAGGGAATGTCCTTCCTGCCTGGCTTGGGAGCTGCTCACACGGGGCTGCCCATCCTCAGCGAGGAGTTGTGATGCCCCCGAGGACAGCACAGGTGACACGGGAGTGGGGGGAGTGCAAGGCATCGGTTATACGGCTCTGTCCAGCGCAATCTGGGGCTGCTACATCACAGCTCATCGTGGGGCACGTGCAGGGCATGATCACAGAGATCTGTGGGCAAAACACACGCCATCAGCACTGGGACTGCCCCCTGGATCCTCGATACGAACTTCTGCCCTGCAAGATGCTGCAGGGGGTGAGGAGGGGCCAGGCCAGGGGTCAGTCCTGGGGAGATGCCTTAGAAAGAAACTTTGAACCCCCCTTCCAGAAGCAGAGCCCGGTGTCCGGCATGATTGAGAGGTTGGACCAGCATGAGGACATGGCAGCGGGTCACAGGATGCCTACAGGGCCTAACCACCAGCCAGCACAGGATCTGTCTGGCCCAGAGACTGCCTGGTGCCTCCCTCGGCTTTGCAGTTAATGGGAAACAGGGTTGTTTGAACAAAGCTGCCAATGCCACCCTTAGCCCTGCAAGCGGCAGATCACGCCCAGCGCCAGCACCCACCTGGAGGAGTTCAACCACAGCCCATCAGTGGCCCAGGTGCCCTGCGCTCCCCTTGCGCTGGGCCATGCTCCTCCCAAGACCCCACACCATAGGCTCTTGGGCAGGGACTGTCCTCCTGTCCTGCGAGCAGCACCCAGCATCGGTGAGCTGCTGTCCCAGCCACCGTGGCCTTCACCCTGCCCAACTGGCTGGCATCCAGCGCTGCCATCCAGAAATAGCTCAGCAGAACAGGACATTGCTCCCTGAATGGCCCCAGCCACTGCAACCACATCGCAGCCTCCAGCACCAATAAGAGCCCACGCGATATTGCCGCGAGGGCTACCCTGGATCTGCCCCAGATGCCAGTGTTGCCTCTGCAGCCCAAGCCCCCCATCTTCAGCATGTGCTGCTGGCTGTGGACACGGAGGAGCTGCCCTGGGGCTGCTGGCCAGCGCAGCACTGCACACACATGTTCTAGCACCATTTTGGTACTATGGCCAGGCCCTTGGCGCCAGAGGTGACCTGGCTGTGGAGACCGAGGCAGGAAGCAGAGACTCCCTTCCAGGAAATGGAGGGGCCTGCTCACCGGTGCGCTTGCTGCAGAGTCGGTCCTTGATGTTCTCAGCCTCATGGGAGAAGAACTCAATGAGCTCATCCTCATACTCCTCTGCGATGCTCTCGCACTGCAATGGAAACAGCGCTGGTCACATGCCTGCCACCTCTGAGCTCCATTCACGCTCCAAGGCTGGCTAAGCCACACATGGATTCCCACGGTCACTCAGCCTGAAGCCCCACAAAGAGCTAAAGCCTCTGGAAAAGGCCAGATACAGCTTGTGCCGGCTGGACCACAAGCAAGGCCCAGTGCTAGGTGCTGAGGCCTGGCTGATGAGGGCAGCCCACACCTCCTACTGCATCCAGGAAGACCCCCCGTGCGCACCTGTGCGGGGCAGTCATCACTGAGCATCCCTGACCCCTCCCCACTCACAGCAAACTTTAAGCTGGAGACCACATCCCCATCTATCTTGACCTCGGAGAGATCCATCTTGGTGCCATCGTGGGAGAGGATGCGGACGTATGCCTTGCGCTGGGTGACAGGGTCCGTCTTCTCCCCGTACTCCTTCATCTTCTCGCACACCCGCTCCAGCAGCTCTGTCAGGTGGGCTTCGGAGCGGGCATAGGGCACCTGCAGCAAGACCGTGGGGCAGCTAGACCAGTCTCCCTGCTTACCCTGACAAAATCGAGACACAGATGCGACACGACTCCTCAAGCCCCACAAGGAGCTAGGGCAAAGCCAGACCTCCCACATGCTTCCCCTCCTGCCTCCCCCCGCCAGGAGCAGAACTCAGAAGTCCCAGAGCAGCCCCAGGAGCGCCCTGCTCTGCCAACCGGGCACAGCCCCCCAGCAGCAGCTTGACACCCCCACGCCGATCGCAGACGGGGCCCAGCTGTGCATGCTACCTCCACGACTGACTGGCTGCCGTCCGGGTTGATGCGGAACGAGCCCATCTGGATGGTTTTCTTGGGGTCGACCTGCGCGATCTCCCACTCCAGCTCATCCACCAGGGCCCGGCAAGCTGCAACATGGGGCAGAGGGTGAGAGGACGCAGGTGCCCGTGGCAAGGAGCCGTGGGGGGAGCGGAGGCCCGGCAGCCCACGGACAGGGACCCACGAACAAAGCGGTGAGGAAATTATCTCCTTCCGTGCCCACGCAGCGCCTTACACCAGCAGCCCAAGGAGCAGCCGTGGCCCTGGTACCTCCGCAGTGCAGGTCCTGGCTCCTCCGGCCCCGCGCAGAGCTCAGCACTGCCGCCAGCACCACCATCAGGCCCAGTGCGTGGGACACCCAGCTGCCCATCCTGGCACCCGTGGGCCAGCGCGGACCCCTGCAGGGAAGGGGGAGGTCAGGGATGCCCGGAGCTAGCTCACCCCAGCCCAGGGGCACCTGCTCCAGTCCCAGGGGCAATGCCCCCCCAAGGCAGCAGCAAAGCCCCCTGCCCCTCCCGCGGGGCAGCAGTCCCTGTGGTCTCTCAACACCCCTACAGACCCCCTTTCTGCGCCCCCCGTAAGCTTTTCGACCGGCCCTTCTACGTGCTCCCCTATAGCCCCCTCCACCCCACTTCTATAGGCCCCAGATCCCCTACAGACCCCCCATAGGCTCCTCTACGACCCGCCTCGCTGTGTGCTCCCCTATAGCCCCCCCCTTTCCAGGCCCCTACAGACCCCTGATCCATCCGGCCTCCGCCTGCTCTATAGGTCCCGCCCCTAGGGACCGCACCGCCCATAGGTCCCACCCCGGGCTGCCCACCGCCCGCCACCCGCCTGCGCTCCCCGGCCCGGCCCCACCGCGCCGTCCCCACGGCCCCGG